GATCGACTTCAACTATAAACCATGACCAAAGTAACCGGCCCTATGAGAAACTCGACCACCCTACTACTCCAGCCGCTAATTGAAGAATGGTTGAGCTGATCGCTTCGCTTTGCTGTTGGGCAGCCGTGTCTTGACCTCGACTCCCATTTGGCTGGGGAGTGGCCACCTTCCAAAAAGGTGAAGCTGGACCGGTCAAGCTTGAACGGCTCGCTCTCCAATGATGGGAGGATTACGTGGACATCTGTTTGTCACCTTCACAAGTCGGTCACCCCTTGGAAGCTATTGCAAAAGTGGGTAGGGCCTGCCATTGCCAAAACGGACATAATATTTTCATGGAGAAAATCCCCTGCAATCCCCTCGTCAAAAAGAGATCTGTCATCATATTCTGTCACAGGACATTTCACTAACTTATCTTTTCAAAAATGCCCCTCGCTCTTTGTAGATATTTCGTCACATATACATAGAAGTTTTACAACACTAAATATAAACAATAATATAGATTTCTCTTTAAAATTATTCTTCTAAGAGTGCTAGTTCTCAAGTCGGAGGAATAGCGGGGACTTAGCACTTGTTTGGTCCAGATTAAAATCAGGATTTTAATTCAAATCAAAGTCAAACAATCAATATTAACTATATCTTTCATGAGATTCCACAACTTTTCCATCACACATTTCAAAAACTTCTATCACAATCTACTAAAAATCTAATTTTAATCATCATCAAACACCCTTTTAGTTGTTAGATATTTATACATTAAAAATAATATGTGAAAAAAATAATTAATTCAGATGAAGTGCCCAATTGATAAAAAGTGTGGAATTTGTGTANATCAAACACCCTTTTAGTTGTTAGATATTTATACATTAAAAATAATATGTGAAAAAAATAATTAATTCAGATGAAGTGCCCAATTGATAAAAAGTGTGGAATTTGTGTAAAAGGTCGGATGTTTGAGTCACACTACACACATTATATTAAAATATCTTTGATTGGGTTCAGAATTATTTAATGAGTTAACTAGGCAGTAAAATATGATCGTTTTTAACTGTCCAGTATTAACAACACATTACCACTAGCCATACAAATTACAAATAATACTGGATCATGGTAGATGCAGTATATCATTTTTCTACCTATATAAACAAACATCTAGACATTAGAAAATTATTACAAATACCAAATTGTATGTTTATTCAGTAAATTATTATACTCAATTTTACATATTTTTTGGAGTAGACTTGAGAGTTCTGAAAACTATTTGTAATTGCTGTACAATTGATTTCTTTGATCGTTATATCCTGAATGTAATTGTCCACAAAGGTCGCAACAGTTATCGATGGTCAATTTCGCTTTAGGATATCGTGTTGTCACGAGACTCGATTAGTCGATAAATTTTATTTTTGTACTTTACTATATTGCAATTAGTAATATTTCCAACATTAGTCTCCCCTTAGGCTGCATGTACTAGGATTGCTCGGAATCATCACAAAGGAAAAAAAATATTGGCAGCTTGGAACTAACACTAGGAAGGAACACACTTGACCCTGTCAAAAGGGGCTTAACCATATTGAACATATTCGAATGTTGAAAAAAGGGACTTAGCCCCCGTTTGACATCCATTTTTTTCTCTTTCTTCATTTCAATCACATTCTATCAATAAAATAATATTACACAGAGATCTAAAAATTCTCCTTACTTTTTAATCACACATTTTTCCATCAATTACTATTCAAAAACTAATTTTTTTTCCTAAAATGGGTGTCAAACACCCCTTTAATAACACAACATCACATATAAACAATTATCTCCCAATTTATTAAGCCAATTTTAAGTCACTGTTTGAGCCACATTAAAATTTTCATTCTCCTTCTTCTACTCATTTTCAACCACACATTTTTCAATAAAATAATATTTTTCATCCATCAATAACTTTTTCTTCTTTTTCAACCACACGTTCTCCATCAATCTCCTATTTTAAAATACATTATTCCAAAATAATGTGACTCAAACACTACAATTAACCTTTTTCTTAAACTTTTAAGATGCTATTAGTTATTATAATTAAAACTCATTTTTTTCTTGAAATAAAGAAAATTATTACTTGTATGTTAACAGCAACTTGTAAATAAATTCAAAGTATAAAATAATTCAAATATCCTAGTAATTAGTACTTATGTCCAAAAATAAACAACTTATTCACATGTTTCTGGCATAAGATTTGGGAGGAATTATTGAACCATAAATGGGAAACATTCAAGTCTAGTACTTTGGTGGTCTGATTAGATAATATTTGAAGGTAAAATGACTTTAGCTACCGTCGTGCTCGTATTTATTAAGACATTTAAAGGAACATTAAAATGTGTCTGCCATAATCATAGTAAAGAAAAACGAGTAGATGTTGCTTAATGGATTTGAATTTGTAGTCCAATCGAGGCAACTTGGTACCCAGTTATCAATAAGAGTAAAGTCACTTTACCCGAAAATGGTTGACATATTGGGTGACCGACCCTCACATTGCACATGGGTCCCGCTTGACCCCCGAGGTGTGTGTTTGTGTTCGGTCATTCCCTATGTTCGTATAGCATGGTTCTATCAATAAAGGCGCATAGGACGAGGATAAATGGGAAAAAAAAAAAAACCAATAAAGCGTCCCATATCAGATCTAACTTTATATTCTTTCCAAAAATTTTGTTACTTTTATAATGCATATAAAATGAAACCTTGATTTATACCAAGTCGCCTTTAAAAAAAAAAAGATTAATTAAAAGTGAGAAATTTTTTTGATACCATCGAATAAAAAAATAAATAATCTAATCAAGAGAAGAAGAAAAAAAAACACACACACACACATGGCCAGGATGTATCATGTATGCAGTTTTCAACTTCATTAGTTTCGGCTGTTAAGTATTTAAAAAATAAGAATTAAGGATGTAATAATATTTTAGTTTTAAATAAATAAAAATGATACTGAAAATTTCCTGAGACAAATGACTGTCGGCAATGTTTTTTGAAATGTGCTTTATCTTGCTTAAATTTTATGCAATTTATGGAGTTGTTGGTTTATGCGTACATATTTGTTTTCATCTGAGGATTAAATATCATTATTATCATTGACTTTTCTCAAATATTTCTCAATTGTCATTAGACTTAAAAAAAATTCTCTTGAGTGACTTTTTAAAATGTTTCAAATTGCTACTGGACTTAAAGATGATAAAAAAATCCGTTCAACTCGATACGGGGGGCAACGCCCAGAATGGAGCGGAGATTACCCGCCTAACTAGATAAATGGAGCGGGCCGGGGGGTCAATGCCCAAAAACAGGTACGGAGAATATATTCCCCGCCTCATTTAAAATTAATTTCAAATTTAAGTTTTTTATCAAATAAAAATAAAAAAATTATTATTATTTTTAAAAAGAACATAAGTTGTTCTTAACTAATTGAAAAAAAAAAATAATATTTACTAATTAAAGACATAAAACAAAATAAATAAAAAATAAATAGGGCGATAAATGAGGAAGAGTACCTACCCCTCCGCACCTCGGACTCGTCCTATCCCGCTTTAATATGGTATGTGAAATGGACAAAATGACAAAAATACCCGACGGAATAGGGTGAGAATGACCTTCCCGCCCCGTTGACAAAAAAATTTGTAACTGTATTGAACCTAGTTAACGGACAAGATGACATGACAGACATAATGACGATCGTGATGACATTTTGATAAGTTAATCAAGTTTTTAACCGATGAGTGAAAGGTGTGATAGATGTAAAAATATTAGTAAGTTCAGTAATACCTTGAAGATCTTTTAAAGTTTAATGTCAATTGAGAAATATTTGTTAAAATTTGTGACGGCTGAAATATTTAACCATTATCGAAAGATGGATACTCCATTTCTAGAACACCAATGTGTTTGCAATAGTTGAACTAACCAATCTTGTTGAACTAGAGTAAATTATCGTAATTTAGTTTTTGTTTTTGTAATTTCCCAACAATGTCAAAAGAAAAAGGAAGAAGTGTATATTAAAATTTTCTTTAAAATTCACAACCACAATTATAAGTTTTGAGGATAAACTGGGAAAATTACAATTAGGTAAACTATCCAAACTAGTAAAAGAAATCAAACGGAGGGCCGGCCTTGAGAATTTTAAAATTCTAGACGACTAATTATTTTGAGACACTTATCAGGAAATGTACGAACGTCTGCTATGAGATCAAATCCGAGGCTGAATAAGCAACGTAGATGGGTCGTGGTTGTAACCCTAATTGTGCAGATGATAATAGGACAACAAACATAAATGAAAATGGAATTGGATTGAAATTCAAACCATTTTTACAGAAAAAATACGGTTTGCATCTTTCCAAAATCAAAAGCTTTGAAAAATTGAAGATTCAAGATTGATTGAGAAATCCCAGGAGTTCGAGTTCAAATTCAAAAGAAGAATGAAATATTTGACGTCGTGTGTATAAGAACAATGAAAGACAAAATATAAGAACCAAGAATAATAATATTTCCATTATTAATTATTGTCATTTTTTTTTGATTTGACTTTTGAAACATAATGTTGGTTTGATTCACTACATCAAAGAATCTATAAATGAGTGACTTTGTTGAGTCTTTTATTTATTAATAATTATTTTGTCTTTTAATATGTTGTTTGTTGTGGTATGGGGTCTAATTTCGCATCTTTTCTTTTGGAGCTTGTCCCGATATTGATTGTCGACGATGTTTGAACTTGTCATAATGATGTCCACTCACTATAAGTATCACACATGCTCCAGTAATTGATTTATAAAATATTTATTGAAGACTGAGTACAGGACAATTATTTTAAAATATACAGAAAACGACCCATACAATACAGATAATGCGTGACAATATATTTTACAAGGAGATTTCCCTAAGCATATAGTAGGAATATATTATTATCTTCCATATATCACATAATAACAGGATTTCATACCACCCTGTATTTGCAAAAACAAGGCAGTAAAATTTATCTACGTTACTTTGGCATTGCATTCTGGAGGAAAACCTTGTGGAAATCGCTTCGTATCAGTGCAATAATTGTATATCATGTAATTGTTTTGCACCCATTTGAGCCTTCTTTGAAGCGTGGGATCCAATTTCTGTGATAACCATGAAGCGTGATTGGATTGTGTAGCAGAAGTACAAGAGGAAGCTCTAGAAGAAGACTTGATGCAAGCATGTGCATTGAAATTTCTGTATGAAGCAGTAAAGGGGGCTCGAGTCCAGTCAGTCTTGATTAGCCCACCTCTCGTCGCCCATTCATCTGCATTCCAAATGCTGGAATATAGTCTCATTGCTTGGGTTTTGGGAAATGGTACACCAATTTTCTCCAAATTCTTGAATTCTCTAAGGGGTGTTCCATCCACAGAGAAACTGAAACAGAGTAACATTGTTCAATAATCTATTAGCAAGTACTCATTCCAGGTACTGGATTGATCAAGAGTTCGATAATAAGCATGTAATTGTTAAGATTTGAGTTTCATCTTAAAATATCAATCTTATTAAGAGAAGTAGTCCAAACCCTTATAAATTGGTTTATATTTTCATCTTTATTCGATGTTGGATTATATCCCTTAACATGTCCCGCAAGATGGTGGCTCGTTTGAGCAGATCAATTTTGAAATTCGTATGCTCAATTTTTTTTATTCTTAATCGTATCGAATTTCTCGTTGGAGCTTAATGAGATCTAATACCATATTAAGATTTAAAATTTTATCTTAAAATGTCAACTTTATTAAAAGTAGTCCAAATCCTTATAAATTGATCTATATTTTCATCTTTATTCGTTGTGTGATTCTATCACTTAATAGTAATCACATTGTTCACAAATTATTTTGACTCGTGTCTCAATTTATATAGCATTTCTAGTCAAGTTTTGAAGCAATTTAGGATACTTACACAATTGTTTGTGGATTCCAAAGAATTGAGAATGTGTGAAAGTCAGCGGTAGGGTCAAACCACAAGTGAAATTGCTGCTCTCTCTCCCCCTTGCCTTGAATGTACACATTAGTGTGAATAGTGTAAGGCTCGCCACTTAAATTCCCCAAGAACTCGAAATCAATCTCATCATGAGTTGATCCTTGTGATGACATCTACAAATAGCACAGAATTAATCATATAATGAAAAATAATAATCAACTATGTCCCATCGTTAAGTATTTAGACTAGACGAGAGGTTCGACAGGGCATACATAATAAGCAGTTACAGTTCCAGCAGAGTTTCCAGGAACCAGTTTGAGTTGCATATCAATCTTCCCAAATAAATACTCTCTCTTTGATTGAAAACCTGAGCCAGAATACTTGTCAAGAGAAAGACTAAGAAGCTCCCCATTGTTGACAATTTTTCCACGGCCATCTCCCCAGGTGATATCAAAATCTTCATGGTAATTACTTCCATAAGCAACCCTTGAATTGCTTATAAGCAGTAAACAGAAAAGAACAACATCTGCAACCCTAAAATATGACAGTGAACCCATATTTTTTTTTAACCTTCAGTGTTACATTTACATTACAAGTCTCAACTTATTTATATACACAGACACATGTACATAGAGTTTGCCATCTGGAAGTAGGAGGAGAATTAGAACAGCTGTGAAAAAGATAAGCATTAACACAAGTGTGTCCATCTGTCTTCACCTTTATATATTTTGAGTTGAGAATTGCTTCCCGTACAGAAGCAGAACCAACAAAAATTCACCAGATCACTCACGTGTGGGTTTCGCAAGATTTTTTTTTTTTTTTAAATACACGATGGGACCTACTCATTGTGAGTATTCTGGTGGTTTTCTGTGAAAACATTTCTGTACAAAATGGAAAAATTGTTTTGAGTTTGTTTGAACCCTATTTTTTGGTCAAAAATTCATTTTAAAATAATGATTTGATGAAAAATATGTGGTTAAAGAATAATGAAAAAATTTGAGTTTGAGTATAATATTATTTTATTGAAGAACGTGTGATTAAAAACAAGACACAACAAAATATATTTTGAAAATAATATTAATGTGTGTCTATTTAGTACAGCACCATTGATTTGACTATTGGTAATGAAGCTGTGAGTGAGCTGTTAACATGAAGAGACATTGAGATTTGAAATTGTTATTTTTTTGTATGTATCTGCCGACCTCTCTACCATTCCAATCAGCTTTGCATAGTCAGGAATCATGAGGCTATGCAATTGGCGAACGTGTCATTTCTCGTGACTTGCTTCGATAACTTTGTTTATTCCTAATCTAATATACCGATTTATTTGATAAAATGTTAATTTCACGCTCCAGTCAATTTTTTTCACTGATTGACTCGAGAAGATTTTACTAAAGTTTGGGCTGAGACCCCAAGTTAAATTTAGACATGACCCAATTTGGGTTTAGTTGAGCCCATTAGTATGTAACCCAAATCCCAGATGATTGATTCTTGAATGTCAAAATAAAGGGAAAATTATCTAGAAATATGCATTTAAAGATCGATTTTCATAAATAAGGAGGATTAGTTTTAAATTCAAAAATCAAGTAGTAAATGGTTTTTTGGTGGTTATGGTGATTTTTTTGGTGGCCAATGGTTTTTTATTATCAAATCTTTTTAGCGGTTATGGTTGTTTTTTGGTGGTCGATTCTCTCTCTCTCTCTCTCTCTCTCTCTCTCTTTTGACATCGCTATGTGCGGTGGAGAAGAACCGTCGTGCGCAATGGTGAACAGATGTGTGTAGCGGAGCAGCAGGGCGCCATTTCTGCTGCGAGCAGTGGTGCCTTGTTTGTCACTTCTCGTGGTTGGGGGTGAACTCTTTGAAACTTGGTTATGGCTTTGTAATCTGATAATACTGCAAGAATACTTGTCGCCGCCATGGTTTGGGAGGGTGGATACTGGTTTTTCTTTTTTCCTCTTTGAAAATGGCTAGGGATGATTGTTGGTGTTCTGCAAATTGTGCCGTGATTTCCTGATCTGTTGTTGGTGGTGTAGGCAGCGATGATTCTGTTGCTGGTGATGCTTATGGTTGTAGTGAGGTGGTGAGAGTCTGATTCTTGACGGTGTTGGGAGTGGTGGTAGCACCTGTAATCGTGTGTATCCAAGTCTATCTTCATTGTGATGTCTATGATTAGATCTGTGTTTAACTGTGACTATATATGACTTTGTTACATACAATTACAAATTAGATTGACCTGATTACATTCAGTCACACTGAAGACAAAGTTGGTCACAATTAATAACAAATAATACATGTAACAGAAGGTAGTATTTATGATCGTGAATTGAAGTTGAAGGTGGTAATGGTGGTGCATTAGAGGTGATGGTGGTGATTAATGGTGGTGGATTGTGGTACTGGTCTGCGGTGCGTGCAAATTTGTTTGTGGCGACCTTCTGTGACCATCTATGTATTTATTGTGATGGTTCCGATCAATTATGTATTAATTGTGATCGATTATGACTTGAACACATACTGCCACAATTAAGATTGACAGTCACAAATAGTCACAATTTAGCCATAGTTAATCACACTGAATACAAATTTGATCATAATTAGTCACAAATAATACAGGTCAGTGACTTGGTTACATATAGTGACCTGAAAATTTTTTAGGGTAGGTGGAAGTAGGGTAGGGTAGGGTAGGTTAGCATAGGATAGGGTAGGGTAGGTTGGTTCTGTGGGGTCTCCAGTTTTCAATTTTGGAGATTTTTTTGTTAGTGTTCGTGAGATTGGGTGTAATATCTCGTTTTCAATTTCTGGAAATTTTTTTGAGAATGGAGGTGGAGTGAATATGTAGATTATTATTATTATTATTATTATTATTATTATCCATCTAATTTATGAAATATTTTAGGGAGTTTGTTAGTTGTGAAATGTAGTTCCTATATGTAAGAGTTATGTATTGTTCCTTACACTAAAATCTCTATAAAATAATAATGTTCAGATCGAGAAAAATTATTATTTTAAAGAGGTTATTAATTTATTCATTTATTGATAAATGAATATTCATTAATTCATGGAGTATATCAAATTTTTATAACATGTCTTATATTTTACCATAATACATGTATTGTAACGACCCAAATTTTAGAAATCCAAGATCGCTACCCAAATATTTCTGTTTCATAATAAAATTTTGGGAAATCCTTTATTTACTTAAGAGTGAGCAATAGTTAACATTAGTTAAGTCATCACTAGATTTACACATGGGTATTATGATAAATTTCCTTTATGATTATAATAACTAATCAATTGCATGAAGACTTGGAACTAAGATAGCCAAAATACTCTTCCGTTTTGTTAAATCAAGAGAGAGAATTAGTATTAAAATTCACAAAGTTGGTAGACAAACTGATGTAATGTTTCCTCTAAATTTACTACTTAACTTGGTCAACCAAAAGGTGCTAAATCAAATGACAAGTGGTATACTAATTTATTATGATCCATACCAAATCATTTATTATTATTATTATTATTATTATTATTATTATTATTATTATTATTATTATTATTATT